AACCGGAAGTTCGTATATAATCAGTCTGGATCTCCTGCTCTATGCTTTTCATATTTGTTCTCGATTTTCATTTAATTCCGTTCTCGAGATTAAGGAACGACAGACAGTCAGAGTGAGGACAGTGAATTTGGGTTGCAATTCGGAAAAATTGCATCCCAATAATTCTTCTTTAAACGCGATATTTATGAAGACTACTTCTCATGTTGTTTATACAATCTTTCGCAAAAATATAAACACTTATTATCACATAAAAGCAATTATTCTGGCATTTTTACAAGATTTTTTTTCTTTAAACAAGTTTTATATGAAGTCTTTCGGATATTAAGGTTAACAACTCCGATTACGTGCGGGCCATCACAATCTAACACTTCCGATCACTTTTCAAATTTTAATATAGAACAGTATTAATTAGTAGTCGTTGACCATCCTCGCTTCAAGGAGGAGGTCAACCACTACTTTTGGTCGAGTTACTTCAAGCTCCTTCTGCAATACTCCCTTCTTCTTATCGGACCCACTAGTATGGTGGCATTCGAATAGGAAAATTAATAATATGAGGTTACCGGCGACTACAAAATATGTTTTAAGTGGTTTTCGAGTGTGCCGAGTTTAAACATTTCGTCCATTTTTCGCAAAATTTGATTCGTTGGCTGATTATCATTTGATATTCGGCTATGAATAGTACAGTTTCTTAGAGTTAACATTAGGTTAACTGCTAGTTGTATATGTAATTTAAATATGTCATAGATAAAAATTATATAGTCTTGCATAAATCCTTAAGTACTTTTTATTGATTTTCTTGTCAACAGATTGTTTATTGTAAGCTTAATCTAACTTGTAATAAATAAATATATATATAAGTAATTTTCTAAAATTGCATTTTCAAATGCTATATTTAAAATTTAGCTTATATATTCTAGATTAAAAGAATAAACTAAAGTTTTCATTTTTAAGTACAGTCATATCCAAAAAATAAGTATCGTATCCAATCTATAGATAGAGAAAAAATAAACAAAATAAACAACGGAAATTTTATATGCACGTTTACTAGACAATAAAAATCTCCAGAATGTCTCAATTAGCAGTCTGTTCGATTAAACTCCTTAAATACAGCGGCTACTATGGCATTGTTTCTGTTGTATTTTAACAGTTCGATACTGTTTTACTGTATAATACTGACAATGATAGAGTCATTAAAACGTCACATAAACGATTTTATAAAAAGTAGACCGGTTGCAAACATATATATCTGAATGTGCTACAGAGGGTAATATCCAGGAGTTGGGCCAATTTCAAAGAACAGGTGATGTTGAACGTCAACTAGGAAGTGGACGTCCAAGAGTTACCATCCCTCAATAAGGTCGCTGTTTAACGTTAAACGTTACGTCTTAACAAAATAATGTCTGGTAGGCAGTTCTCTGCAGACTCCGGTGAGTAATACAGTTGGCCATAAACAACTCTGCAGAGAGCTGTATCTATGACCATCGATGATAAGTTTTACGATGATGTCTATAGGAGGCTTCAGACAAACGGTCGGTTTTGCCAGATTTCCAGTACGTTGTGTTCCATTGATTCCTATGCACAGAACAGCACGTTTAAGATGGGGTCAAAAACATCGACATTGGACTTTGAATGCATGGGCAACATCATGTTCGCTGACGAGTCCTGCTACTTTTACAGAATGATTCTTATCGGATTAGAGTCTAGAGAGTGGAGAATCCGTGACAGTTTCATGAATATGATGGAAAGACACCAGATTACAGGTGATGGTATTATGGTCTAGGACGGCATTATGTTTAATGGCATTTCTGATCTCCACGTTTTTGCAATGAAGTACCATTACTGCAAGGAGATATAGTGACAAGATTTTGGAACCCTGTGTGAGAATTTTCAGTTGGATTGTGTGTGCAGATTTTATTTTCGTGGAGTGATAATTCCCGTTCACATAGAGCTACACTCGTCAATGACATTTTTTGACAGAAAAGACATTCGTCGCATGGAATGGCTGGCAAGATCTCTGGTCTTAAATCCAATAGAACACGTATGGGGTACTCCTATGAGACAGTTGCACTCCTTCAACCTCTGCCAAGAACATTTCAAAAGGTTTAAAATATGCTTGTTGGAGAATAGACTTTCCACTGACAAAACTACATGATCAGCATGAACAATCAATTTGCAACGTGTGTATGTGCAAGAGGTAACCATATGCCATATTAATCATTTTCTATGCAAAAATATTTACGACTATGCTTAGTAATTTTCTTGTTTTTATTTGACGTTATTTAAATTAAATTTTTGCTTTTCAATTGTTTTCTTGCCTTGTTCGGCTTGTATGTTAATTTTCACGCTGTTTTTGAGATATGCGATAAATTAATAGTTATGCTTATTTTCGATATATATATAATATTTATTTATTTATTTTATTAGAAATTTCCATATTCCCATATTTTTTATATAAATTACTTTAATTACTTACATGTCATATACTGTATTGTGAAAAAATGATTACATTAAATTTTTTCATTTTGATTTTAATGAAGCGAAAAAATAAATTATTACAATTTGTATACTTTCTCAAAAAATTAGTTAAGATCATATCTATTCTGCTAATGAGAAAATCAAAACAACTTACCCAATTTTTAAAATATTTCAAAAAAATTTCGTAAACTATGAAATATGCGTTTTAAAGATATTTACTGTATATAAAGTACGACGTTACAAAATGTATGAATGTAGATATTCGTTTTGTATATAATGTTTTTTATCTTTTTCACACTCGCGACCCACTTCAAGTTAATTTTAATTGTAAATGCATTTATTATTAGCCACAAGTAATTTAAATATTCAGGAAAACTTGCTTTCGAAGAGAAGTAAATGCTTTACTAAAAGAGAAATTTTCTAATAATTTATTCAATAGGTAATACTGATATAATACCAAAATATCTAATACTGTGCTTTCATTTCATTTACCATAATTATACATACATAATTTATTTCTGTAATAAATTACCTATATTTTATAAACTGTGTTTGTCTTTAGGATACACCCAATAAAAAAATAACTATTTTATATGTTTGGTCCTATAGAATTATTTCCTTGAAATAATTTCCTACTAAAGATAAATGAAATTTATCATTAGATGAAAAAATTAGAATAAGCATGGGGCCTGTACATGTTGATCATGTGATAATATTACTTTCATTATGAAAATGTAAACCTAACATAATTGCATTATGTTATATAATTTCAAAACATCAAAGTATTATTTTCAGTTGTTTGTAAATTTACTTTAAGTTATAAACTCTTTTATATAATAATTATCATTTTTACAATAAAAGAAATGGACAAAGGCAAATAATTTACCTTGTGTACATAAAAGATATTTTAAACTATTTAAAACTATTTTTTTATGAAGAATAATTTATAGAATTCATTTATTCATTTAAGTTTGGGAATTTTGATTTCTCTTGTATAAATGCCTGCTTTTATTTGTTAAGAATATTTTTTTCCCGATGTTTTTGCACTATTATAGTGATTTATACATTTATGTTTTATGCTATTTCATTGCTCTAATGTTTACTTTTCGTTTATTTATTATACAGTGTAATGAATTTTGATAGCATGTTGAGATAAATATTCAAATAACTATATTATTTATTTTAAGATAAAGTTTTACGCGAATAAACAACATATTTCTTTATACTATCAAAGTTGCTTATATGATTGAGATGATTATTCAGAAGTTATTCTGCAGTAATATAGGTCAAATAAATCATTTTCAAGATCATAATAAAATTTAGACCTTATAAATTTTACTGCAATGCATGTTGTTTTAAATAAATATATTCTTTTATTGTCTTTATAAATATGGCATCTTTATCTGTTATTTGCATGATATACTCTACCAATGATGTAAGGGCGCAAAATTATGTTATAGTATATAAAGGTTATATAAAAAAGTTATAAACCTAAACTAACTGAATATTTTTATAACAATCTTAGCAATGTAATATCATTCTAAGTGAAATAAAAATAATATATATATATAATATAAATTTCATAATTAATATTAAATTTTTTAATATCGGCATTTAAAAGAATTTTTTTACATTATTAGATTACCAATGACATAATTTTAAATTGTCCAAATAGGAAACTTAGCATAAGGAAAAATATCTTAAAAATTGAAAGGTATTTTTCCTTTTACTTTCTAATCTTTAAATAGATTTAAGAAGGATACTTAAATTAAATTTTTTATAGTGTTCTTAGAAATAAACATACAGTATTTCTAAAAGCTTTTTAATTATATTGTAGAAAAGATTTTGGTAGTTATAAAGGCCAAATAGATTTTAAACTATGGAGATTTAATTTAAAAACATTTATTTTACTAAAATAAGATAAAAATGTTTTTGATATATTACGAACAAGATTTTTAAATTATAGTACTTACAAAAATAATGAAGTAAAAGCAAAAAATTTAATGTTAGTTAAACTCTTAACTTTTAAACAAATATAAATTTATTATCTAAAAGCAGAAAGTATTTATAATTTAATAATTATTTTTATAATTTTATGTTTATTTAGCAATTTTTAAAATTCTCTTTTATATTGTTGAATTTAACATTTAATATTGTTGAAGGTATCGAAAATATGAATGAGGGAAAAAATTGTTTTCTTTTAATTACCAATTATGAAATTATGGAATAAATTTAATTTCTTAAACTATAATATTTTAATTCTTTATCTTTTTTTGCAATAATTTTTATTCAACTTATAAATAAAAATTCAAGATGAGCTACAATTACAATTAAATTATTTTATTAATTGATATTTACAAAGTTGATTTCAAATCAAGTTTATTATAATATGTATATCTCGAATTATTTAATTATCAGTATGAAATATTCATCTCTAACAATATATTAATTATATATAATTTAATATTAATAAGCATTTGTTCATTAAAATAATAAATTTTCTGTTTCGGCCAATTTAAAATAGGTAATAAAGAGACATCCATCGAAATGCATTGAATATTAAGTTTAAATAACATCTAATATAATTAAAACAAATTTAAAGATGGTAAAATATCATAAGTTTAAAAAATATTGCTCTAATAAACTGTAATTAAGTACCATTTCTAATGATTTAACGTTGTAAGCACGTATTTACTTACATTTGTAGGACGAAGGTTAGCAAATATTTGTGTTTTTAATTGTGAATAAATTTGACACTTCGCTTACTTACAGAATAAATCTACTTAAATTGTGTCGTATATTTAATATCTAATTTTTACTCAGTCTTAAAATTATACAACAGGTTTATTATAATATCTGATATGCGGTGTTGATTCCCAATTTAAATTTGTTAAAACTTATTATAAATAATCTCGATATTTAAAATAAATATTTTAAAAAAATTGTGCTTAAATTTCGTTTCTAGTGACGAAAATATTTAACATGTATTATACAAATACACGGTAAATATTTTTTAAATAAAATTATCAAAAACATCATTAAGATTTAAGCTTGATCGAATAATCGAATAATAATTTTATATAAGATTATGGCGATATTTTCGAATCATTTATTAATCTTCAAAGCTTCCTAGTTCATTGAACGCGACACGACAGTTACCGCCTTACCTATTCAGGAAATACTACTCACTGTTATGACGATATAGGTCAGTACTTAACATCTTAGAGACGTAGTCATAAAGACTAAGCTCTGCTGCCATTTTTATGTTAGCTTCCGATTAGTACACGTGGACAGTTCGAATAATACTTTTTCTTGAATTTCTATATTTTGATATGAAATAGTCACCTGAAATATTTTATCATAATTTAAAATAAATTTCTGAATTTTATTGTATGAATTGACCTGGAAGTTCAGGTTAGTTTTATTGTATCTCTTAGAATGTCTGGGATATCCTCCTTCCTGCATATTAAGGAACGTAATCTTTATATATTTCCTTAATCAGTAAATATGTTTGTTGTGAATGCGTTTCTCTCTACATATAGATTTGTGAATTCAATATTATATTATATATATTTTATATTCAGACTACTAGACAACGTTTCAAGAAGTTTATGGTCGTGAATTGAAGATATACTTTAACAGAGTGCAACTGTCATCATTTTAAAACGGATAAACAATTTCATTGAATTTTAATTGAAGGACCTTTTGTCATTGAAAACTTGTTTCAGATGGGGATTCGTTGGTGAAGCGTAACATATTTCAGCTAGTTCTGTGTACCAGTGGTTTAGCAGGTTTCATTAAAAATTACATTTGAAAATTCTATAAGTATGAGAGCATCGACTTTGGACAGTCAAACGGAAATAAATTCAAACGTATATTCCAATTACTAGTAAATGCTTGAAATATTCGCAGTCTTCAGGAAGAAGAGGTCCCATTTTCATGTTTATGACGTCATTCAATAAAAATAGGCGGTGCATTGTACGTAAAAAAAGGCTACAGGAGTCGACCCAATTCACAAAGTGAAACTTACTTTCCTCGACTCGCCATGTGGGGTACGTATAACATCTTTTGTGCATCTATATGATAGATATTTAATCTTAAGTAACTATATTTAAATTCTTTTCCGAAAGATATTAAAACTTAGCTTTAAAACAATCATAGCATGCTTAATCATATCCGGGTACAATTAAATAGGTTATGAAGACTCCCTGTTAATGAAGTCACAGTTGAATGATGTGAGATTCACATCAGTTACTCAAGTGAATATTTCTTAACAAACCCTTGACCATTATTCTCATTAGATATTTAGTTCATGCTTCGAAACTGATCATAATTGTGTGTTAAAGTATTGCTAGCATTGCCGTTTTTTTGTGGTGTGTGTGATTTATAAACTCAGCAGGTCAAGGGCTTCCATTACGACCTTTCTTTCATGCCTTGATCTTGGCTCGACTAAACTACATTCATTATTTTAGACTAATCATTATTTAAATGCCTAAAATTATTAACAGAAATTGCACAAAATTTAATATTTTCACTAATAATGTTTAGTCAAAAAATTACAGATACATGTAAAAATAATGTAGAAATAAATTTAAAAATTAATTTATTCTAGCATAATTTTAATTCAGAAAAATTCACTTTCATTATTATTTAACTTAATTACTACTATAATATTTCAGTAATGCTTACAGAGTAGTTATTTTCCTCGTTGCAATTAACTGTACTTTTTATTTTATGTTTTGTTTTCCTAATGCATACTACTAATAATAATTTGTTATGTCAGTGCTAGATACTAACAAAATATATGCTTTAAAATTTTGATTCGAATAGAATTTTTAATTAAATAATAAATATATTAAAGTTTTCTTGGTTCATAAACTGTACATAATTAATTAGACTTAATATATTTATCAAGTTAAAAGTGGTAATTTTAAGTTATACGAGGCCTTAGGCGAATATGTATTTGAGACACTTCTGTATAAATTTCTAATACCTGTAGCAGGCAGTACTTTATATTGTAAAGATCTAGGATCCTGGTTAGTACTGGATTTCGAATACAATTGGATCAAAACCAATTGTCAACAAACTTATATTTATGCTTATTTCAAGCTCTTAAAAGCGAGGTCCTAGGTAAAAAGCCTCGTTCGGCTATGCTTAAAATTTATATTTTATATAAATTTACATTTTATATTATTTCTTTTAACAAATATGATTGCTATATTAAATAAATTTATAATGTTCTATTAAGATAGTTAAGCTTATTGATTATAAATTATTTGTCGCAATGTTTGAAAAATAAATTTATTTATAAACGATGATTTCTTTTATTTTTCGAAAATAACAGATATAAAATTTTCGCTATTTTTTATTTTAATAGATTGGCAATTTATTTTTATTGGCAATAGACATTTTTATACTATCCAAAGTAATCTTCTAGATAAATAATTATAATTTTATATAACTTAATTTTAAAAAATTAGGTCTTCGATATGTTAGTATTTAAATTTCTAATATGGCCTAAATGTCTCAGATTCCATAAAATAAAATAAAAAAATATAATTTTTTAAAGATTATTTGTTGATTGTCAACATGATTTTCTTTGCACATTCATATATCGGTCAGGTTACTTGGTCGAGGTCAGCGTAAAGATAAAAAAAAGTGACTAATATTTTTCTCATCGTTTCAAACTTTGATTTTACTTTGATAGATTATATTAAAAAAATGTTTAATGAATCATTTGTATTAGTAAAATATGCATGTATTTTTTAAAATTTATTGTTTATTAATTTCATATATAAAAATTTTATAAAATTTTTATATATGAAATTTTAGTTACAGTGAAACAACTTAATCATTTAATCTTAACATATTAAACTTAATCATTTAATATATATAAAGAAACAATATATTTCTTTATACTGTTGTTTCTTTATGTACATTGAACTCTATCTAGATTCCTCATTGGTGGCTTATCATTTAAATCATTGATTGACCTATATGTTTTTCATTACAAATCAATTATTAATAATTTTTCGTCAAGAATCAAGTACAGTAATTAATATCATGTCTTAAATAAATCTCATCACTTGTTCATTATATTTTTAACATAATATAATTTAGTCGTGTTTCCAATTACTATTAGAATAAATACAATATGAATTACAATTAATTCAGATACTTTTATAATATTATACGGGTATGCACCGATTAACGATGAAGATATGTTCGAAGAAATACGTCGTTAAACGATCATAGACAAACTTATGTGGTATATTATAATACCCATATATGGTATATGTAACACAATAATAAGCATTTATGTATATAAACATATCTAAACTTAGAAAGGTATAGGCGGATACATTGTGGTCTGTCGTTAAGGGAGCAACCTGCATAATTCTAAATATAATGACAAAAATATATAATTTTATTCATATATATTATGATCTTTAATTGTAAACATGATAGACTTAACATACAGGTAATCTTTATATATTTCCTTAATCAGTAAATATGTTTGTTGTGAATGCGTTTCTCTCTACATATAGATTTGTGAATTCAATATTATATTATATATATTNTATAAGATCATTGATTATTCCGTTTTATATGAATTCCATGTTGTACGAGTCACTTAAATTTTACAAATACGTGAGCCGTTTACAGCCCGGTACATTTATTTGTAAAATCTAAGTGACTCGTACAACATGGAATTCATATAAAACGGAATAATCAATGATCTTATAGGGGGGTCGACTGTATTTGATATTTTTATTACTTAAATATAGGTTATACAAAAAAATAGAGCCTCAATGTGAAGCAATTTTTTTAAAATGAGAACATAATTTTTTTCTATGGTAATTTCATGTTTTCGTAAATTTTTAATGCAATATTTTATTGTTTACAAATGTAAAATGTGTCAAAGTAAGCGTTAAGAAATACTTTTAAAACGGTTTAAAGAAAAAAAAAAAAACGTAAAATGTTGACGAAATTTAACACATTATTTTCTATATAGGGCCTACTGAAATATACTCGTAGAAATATTGTAACGTAGTTAACTTTTATGTCTTATTTCTATCGTTTCATGTTATTAATACTAAGATTTATATGAAAAATATTGAAAGAATTGTCATGATAATGTTGTTCCTAGAAATTCATATCTTAAAAGTAATCTCAGATTTAATAAGGAAAATAAAAAACGAATATATTTTATGTGAGGAAATATTTTTATTCTGTTATTTATTACTTAAAATAAGTTTTGCGTTATGAAACCTTTTGATATAAAATACGATGATAATAAATAATTAAAATATCAGAAAATTAAATGACAAAACTTAAATTTGTCTTATAGTCATTTAGTACATTCAACTTTTTTTTAAATCTATTATTTAAGAAAATAAATTCATCTGAACACAGATATATTCGTAAACTTTTCCAAATTTAATTAATATTAAATAAATAGTGTGTTTCACTATTCTAAGTTAATATTTTTCTTAAATAATAAATTCTATTTATAAGAATATAGGTTGAATACATGTCAAAAAAATAAAATTCTATATATAGTCGTCTACAACCAGAATTTTGTGTGTTTTTCAACAAGCCTTTAAGGTAAAATTCTGCTAGTTTGCAAAAAATTCTTACTCTACGGTTCATCGTTCTTAAAAACAAACAATTATTTAAAGTCTTAATAAGGAAAAGGTTGCTATTTTTTGTCTAATAATTTCTTTCTGTATTAGTTAACAGCTAAAAATTTAACTTTTAACATATCTTAATTTAAAATATAATTTACCTGAAATTAATTATTCCTCTTTTTCGTAGTTTATAACAAGAAAACGATTCTTCTGTAAAACTTGAAAGCTCTACCTTTGAGAGCTTGCAGAAAATGAATGAAATGATTAAGATCTTGCAAATATTGAAAGTGTTGTAAGAACTGAAATATTTAAATATTAAACGAATGAAATGAGAAAAATTGTACTAAAGCGTGACGTCTATAATGACGTAGGTGTCCACTACACTGTACAAGGACTACCTATTTTCTCATTCTAAATGTTTTAACCTCGTTTTTAACGTGAAAACTTTTACTATAATTTTCACCTATTTATTACAATAACATTCAGATTTGTTTAAAATGAATTTCAAAATTGAATTTAATTGATTTTTTTAAAAGCAGGAAATATCAAAATAAATAAATTGCCGTAATATAATTTTACATGAAATTTCAATAAAATAAATAAGTAAATTAATAAAACTAATGATTAAGACATTTTTAATTAAAGAAAAAAATTAATATTGAATAAATCTAACTGAATATATTTTATTTAAATAATAAATTCGTTTAGAGATTTAAATTTTGGTCAATTTGCAAAATTATTCGATAAAAATCTAGTAAAATTATATTAATAACTTATTAGATATTTATCTGATTCTGCATAATAATATACCCAATATTTCCTTAATAATTAGAACGAGAATTCGAATTTAAAAAGTTTTCCGATAAGTAATTTATTAAATATAGCACAAAGGAAAAATATATGATTTAAAAACTTTAAAATAGCATGTCTATATAATGTTAATAATAAATATTTAGTGATATAATTTTTAAATATTAAAATTTTTCCATATTCGGTATGTATTTTAAGTAATTATAGATTTGGTCATCTAGTCACTAAAAAATTATGTAACTTATATGAGTTATATAATTATTTATACGATTTTTAGTTCCCATATTTCTAGTTGTAGTAATTATATAATCAAATGTAAAATTTAATTCTTTCACCAAATTATATAAAACTAAACACATTTATAAACATTTTAAAAATATTCAATTTTATTATATTTTGCAGAGAATTCTTATAAATAAAATATTAACTTTCATGGTTCGAAATTTTTAATTGTAAAAAAAAAATGCTGTTTTATGACATTACTTAACAATTATTCTTTCAGGAAAAGAACTAACAGGAAACTCATTAAATGTAATAATAAGCATTTAAAAAATCTTTGAATATATTCTTATTTAAAGCAAAATAAAGAATATAACAAAAATCATTTGTGATTACAATATACGGTATGAATTGATTAGTAAAATTTAAAGAACTTAAAATAACAGTATCTGCAGAAATCTGAACACAAAAATTCACAACAAATACAACTAAGATGGAAAAAATCAGAAACGAATTGATTTTAGTACTTCGTATATTATTACTTGGTGATATAAATACAATTATAATCAGTACAGTTTTTTTACATTAAAGTTTATGAAATTATTTTCCGAATACTTAATGTAGAAAATATATATTTGAAATAAACATTTACAATTTGCAAATCTCGTTTACTATGTTAAAGTTTTTAAAAAATTTTACATGAAATTATTTTCTTAAATTCCTAAATTGATTAGTACATATTTGTTATAATTTATTAATAATTAAAGTTATATTTGAATATATATTACTGTATTTTATTTCCAATGATTTGTTCCTCTTGATGATTATATTTAAAATTTAAATTTCTATATTATATATATACATATCTCCAATGGAAATTTTTATAATTGTTGCTGTTTTCATTTTTTACCTAGTTTTCCATGAATCATTTTTTAAACTGCTGGTTTTCATTCCTTTAAACTCCATCCAAATTTTAGGTTTGCTCCTTTTTTTATTTCTCTGGAGAGACGTATTCCAATGCTTTCCTTGACCATATTTGTTATTACATTTAATCTATACGACCAAACTATACAAATTATTGTTTTTCTATTTCATCGATTATTGTTCTGTCAATTTTCATCATTTTTGTAATTGTTTCATTTCTAATGTGCTCCATCCTTGACATCCTTCAGCTCTTTCTTCAGAAATTCTTTTTCACTTTTAGACTTCATAGAAATTCGTGATAGCAATTAATGAAAGTTTGAATAGAATTATGACAGAATAATTTGAATATGCATATTATTACAATAAAAGATGTAAAGTTTTATAATTTAAACATTCTTAATTCCAAGAAAATAATTTTGGACATTTTTCATTGGAGAGAAGAAAAAATCCTAGCAGGAAACTTATTTTAAAATGTCGACAATAAATATATATAATAAAATATTTAAAAATATTCCCATTGAAAGAAAAATGAAGGATGTAATAAGTATTTATAGTAAGTAAAATAAAAGTAAGTAAAGGTTTTGTGGTTACATTAATTAATAAAATTTAAAGAATTTAAAAGCAAAGTTTTAGCATATAATAAATACAGTTAATTGTGTGAAAAACAAGGAAAAAATTGAACTAATATTCATAAGTATGTAAAAATAATTTAAGTAATAACTTTAAAATTATTTGTGAATTATGAATAATAATGTTCTAAAATCAAAATATAACAAATGTATTTTAAATGTTGATATTTTTCAAAACTTTTTAAAATGAAGTTTATAGAAAAAGCAACAAAAATGAAATCTGAAAGATAATTTGTATATTTTAACATTACTCTATAGTAGCATTGTATAAAAATATAAATAGCTATTGTTTAATATGTAATAAAATAAATGTGCAATACTTATTATGTTTTATTTTTATACGAGTAATAACTCTTTATCACGATAATTTTTATTTCTTCTTGCATCAGCAACCTTTTCATACTATATAAGTTTTATTTTATAACTCCTTCTTAAACTGTTATAAAAAAAGATATAATAGAAGATGATGAAAATATAAAATTATATTTTATTAATTTATTAAAATATTTCACTGAAGAGAAAATATATAATTTTGCAATATACTAATCAGATTGATTTTTATAACGAAAGTTCCCTTAATGCGTTTGAATGTAGGTGAAAATTAAAAATAGAAAGTATATTACGTAATGAAGCATTAAAACTATACTAGCTTTGAATGAATGAAACGCACAATGACCTTAGATGAATGATCTTGATGATAAATAGCGCCAAATACGCATTTTACTTTTTGTTTTTTGTTTTACTTTTTACGAAACTCATTTCTAATAGCAAGAAATATAGGACAATTCTGTTAAGTTCGATCTAAATATAATCTATATAAAATATTTAAAGGAAAATTTAAAAATATTGGAAGGTCTACATTTCTTGATTTTTGTATGACAATTAAAAATACTGAAATAAATAACTGCGAATATTCTGTTTTAAATTAACAGTAACAAAATTATGTTAAGTGAGTTTCTTCTTTTCATGATTCATATGAAAGTTATTTAAACTATAGGGGAGACCGGGGCAACTTCGGCACGCGGGGCAAGTTTGTCAAGCGCTTTTTTTTAAAAACAAATTAAAAGAAGACTTTGGTTATAGGTTAGGTAGTTGAGTTTTATTGGTGGCTTGTTGAGTGTAGTGTTTTTATTGTTCTCCAACAAGCGTAGTTGAATTATCAAGCAAATTTTCATTTTCGTTGAATTCCATATAATATTTTTTTTCCATTTATATTGAATTGGCAGGTTTTGTTATAATTCCATGATAACGAAAGTTACTTTTCCTGTTAGAAGGATGTAACTTCAACTTATTCACGTGGCCAGATCGTGGCTTGGCATTCTGTTCTCAGGGTTGTACTTAATGTTTCGAAATCATGACTAGCGGGGTAAGATCGGCAACATAAAGCCACATTAGAAGCAAAGGATAAAAATCAAACAGATGATAAATGAAAACATGTTTGCATTTGTTATTCATGTATATATGTCTTTGAACTTGCATTTCGTTGTAATAATATTAAATGGGTGTTGGATTTGTATTTCTTTGTTTTAATAGTGAATTCCAACTTATACATTGTTAATAACATAATTTTATATACGTGCCTATCTTGCCCCATTACTGTTGCCCCTATACCAGGGGCAACTTTAATAAAAATAATTAAAATAATTACAACTTTACAAAAAGAGAGAAGTTGCCGATCTTGCCCCTATACCCGGGGCAACTTCGTCAATTTCTCTCTTCTTGTAAAGTTGTAATTATTTTAATTATTTTTATTTCCAAACTGATTTTAACCAGTTCTATAGTAAGGTAACATTCCAATAGACAATATGCAAAGCTTTTTTTTCAGTTTACAGCAGTATTTATTACACAAAATTTAAGTAAAGCTTAACATGCCGATCTTACCCCGGTCTCCCCTATATCAAAAATATCCCTGTTAATGTGTACCAAAGGCATCAATAAAATAATCGTAAGATATGATATAGGCTAATTCGTCTCCAAACAAGCAAGAAATTATATTAAACGACGTCTGTAATAAATTATTGATATTCAAGTCATTATTACTATTTTGTATATCAAATGTTGCTATACAATTTCTAATTTTCGAATATATCATTTAATTCAATCAGTAATGGTGTGTGCACGTAAGTGGTTTATAAAAAATCTGATTTAGATTATCATTTTATTTATTTCTTGATATGATTGCTTTTATTATTGTACTGTATCCCATGTATTAATTTATGTTGCTGTTAATAGGATAACTTTTTTGATTTACTGTTCATTCATATTTTAAATAATTTTTAATGTAAATTTAAAAGTTCACAATTCAATTTTTGATTAATAAAGTTCCATTATATTGGGTTGTTCGGAAAGTAATTTCGTTTTTTTTTCGTGGAAAAAAAACAATATTTTTATAATAAATAAATATTTTGTTGAATTATTTATCGACCATTTTGGTCAAATATTTGTTGTCATCGTTTCTGGTAGTAGCATGATTTCACATTCATAAAAGTTTTGATCGTTGCTTACAAAAAACTGATCCAAGTGATTTTTGACATTGTCATTTCAAGTAAATGTCTTACAGTTAAAAAAAAAATTGTATAGACCGGAACAAGTAATAATCTGAGTGTGCTAGTAATAATTTACGTAGTCTAATTAAGTATTTGCTCGTAACATTTTCGCAATGAGTGAAGTCATGTTCTACAAATTTCTAATTGATATTTAGTAAATTGGATGAGAATTTCATAAATATAATTTGAGTAATCTTGATTACAGCAAACTGCGGTGGATAAAGTTATGTTAGAGCTTATCGTGTATACACTAAAACAAGAAATTTTATTTTAATAGATAAAATATTAGCTAAAAGTTGAGAATGAAACCCGATTAAGACATTTTCGATTTCTTTTCGATAATTGCTTTATAAATTACGTTATTTTAATTAAAATATATTTGTCTTTATTATGCAGATTTTAACGA